ATTCATTTTCTGACAGATGGAAATAAAGTGTCTGACTGTTTGACACTTAATGTCAAAGGAAGCTAGATAAAATCAAGAAAAATATACGTTTTCACTAGTGGAATAAAAAAGTGGGTTTCCATTTGAAAAAAAATATTTATGAAAATTTTTTAATCGCTCATTATTATATGAAATTTGAACAATTTAATTTTTGAAATAGATAGCCACATATCTTTTCTTTATGTCACAGGGGCTGTGATAATCACTAAATTTGACTTTTAGGCTGTACAAATTTTTTTGACAGGTAGTTTTTTTCGTCCAAAAATTTTAAATATTTTTTTCTTAAAAATGGTTCCAGGGAAATACCGCGACGAAATTATCGCGATTTTGTAAGTCCTCCAAGATCCGAGGGGCCCCTTCGCTGTTTCAGGCCCGTGGCCCCCGTTATACTAAAGACTTCACTGCTCATCATCAGTAGTGAAGCTAGAATACAAGTTATGCTGTGCATTGGTTGTAATTTAAAATGTTTATTCAGTAAAAATAAATAATGAAACCAATGAAAAATTTTATAACTACTGAACACATATTGGCCTTGTTTGCCAGTTGAATAAAAAATTACTTATTAAGATTCGGAGGCCCCCTAAAAGAGGGAGCCCCTTAGTCCGCCCCCCCCTTAGTCCGCCACTGAATTTTTTCCTATTGATTGGTTGTTAGTGTTTGAAATCAGGGAACAAATGCAATACAAATGTATCTAAATATTGTTAATTCAAAAAAAGTTTTGGGGATAACTTCAGAATAGTATCGTCACTTTTTTCCTGCTTCATTTCTACACTGAAGAAAACATAAAAGAAAAAACTACAACATTGTACTTAGATTTTTGTAACATAATGACACACAATTGTTGTATAAGCTATAAGTTATTATTCTTCCCTGACTCAGTTTCTAATAGTGCCTAGTAACAGCAAATCGTGTCAGAAAAATATAGTGAGTAGTGCTACAATTTGTAATAATGATTTTCATTTAAGTTTCAACAAGTACAATCTGAATCTCTCTGACACAAATTATTGTGAGAAATATCACCACACTCGTTCGCCATTTTCATATAAAATCAAGCATATCTAACTATTTTTGACATCTTGTGGTTGAAATAAAAGCTATACAAAGTGATGCCTATTGCCCTATTTTAGATGGAAAATGATTTGACAATTTTTTTTACAATTGTGGTGTTTATTACAATTGATTTTTTCCGTGTAAAGATTATACAGGGTGGCGCACCTCATTTGCCTCGGTTGATTATACGAAAACGGAAGATGTAAAAATAAAATATTTTATTTGTATATGTGGGGAGCGATGTACACAATTTAAAATTATTTTGATATATACAGGATGTTTCAGAACTAAGATCCATACCAGAATTGTATTTTCTCTTATGGAACACCCGGTATTTTATTTCATTTTTGGGTTCTTGGGCCCAAAAAAGGCATTTATTATAAGGGTTAAATATGTTTAAAATCTTTAGTTTTTGAGATATTTAAATATATTTAAATATGCATGCTACAACAGAATAGATTATTTACACCCTGTAAATTATTTTTCAGAATTATTTTTTGTGCTGAACTTAAAGGTAGAGAAATAAACTTTACGGAAAAATGTTACTGCTTCCTTAAATTTATACAGGGGTGCCAAAAATTTCTGATCTATTTTAAGGATTTATTTTATATAATTTTTTTTATATAAATCGAAGCAGATTCAAATGCTCTTTCAAACTATATATTAAGGTTTCCTATACCTACCTAGCTCAGATTTTGAATAAAAAGCGATTTTTAAATTAAATGACAATCAAGATGGCAATTTTCTAGTGACAGTTAGTAACTATTTTCAAAATCGACATTAGTTTATTGGCATTATTATTTAGAATTATAACAGTTTACTGAATTTTATCCACAATAGTTTAATAAGTATTCATTATATATTTTATCAAGAAAGATAAAGCTATTGTATAAAGCAGTATCTGCTGGCGGAACACATCCAATATTACTAGTGATTTTATTTTGTGAGGAAAATTGCTTCTTGGTCTCAAGGGCTTATGCTCAAAGATATACAAATAGGAATCTTCCTGATAAGCGTTCCTTTGAAAAACTACTTGTCCCATACTTGTTCTATTTCGCAGAGCTGGTAGTATGGTTTATAAAAAAACCTATTCTGCAGAAACCTGTCGTTGGAAGTGAAGAAAATTAATTTGCCGTAATTAGCTCTTTTATAGAAAATTCATATATCTACAAGTCATCGTAAAATAAATCAAAGAACTACTTCGTTTTTCTTGGTAGAATAATAAATATACATTTAATAAATATTATTTATTAAACTATTGTAGGTAAATTAAATAAAAGTAAACTGGTATAAATTTAAATAAGTCCGTAAACTAATTTCGATTTTGAAAATAGCTACTTATTGTAACTAGAAACTTGCCATGACGACACTAGCCCTCTTGGTTGCCATATTATTGAAAAATTGCTCTTTATTCAAAATATGAGCTAGATAGGTATAGTCAACGCTAATAGTTTGAAAGAGAATTTGAATCTGCTTCGATTTATATAAAAAATACAGAGCGTTGTATTTGAAATAACAAAGTTTTTATGTAAACTAAATATTTAAAATAGACCAGCAGATTTTGAGACCCCTGTATACATTCAACGAAGCAATCAAATTTTTCAGTAAAGTTTATTTCTTTGGCTTAAAAGTAAGCACAAGAATTAATTCTGAAAAGCAATGTACAGGGTGTTGACAACCTTTTTTAATATAGCATGCATATTTAATGTATAATGATCTATTTTACATGTAGCTCCTAAGACACGGGGCCCGCAAAGGCTGGGGCCGGGCTGGCAATTGCCACCCTGACTATATGGCCAGTCCGACCCAGTTACCAAAAAATGTAAAACAAAATTATATTTTTTTTGTTGTAGATGGTCCTAAGTTCCAAGAGTGAAATTGAAAAAAAAAACTAATTTAATTAGCTCTGAAAATTTAGTGGGTAAAGGTAATACTCTAAGATCCGGCTGCGTGATTATTGCGCTCATCGTATTTTTAATGAAAACCTAATTTTTACGTATATTTATGAAAATGAGAATATACTTTTGACTTTGACAAGGTGCCTATCAAAAACTTGCTGCAACTAGGGGTTGCCACGTTTCAAAGTATTTCTTATGAGCCCGGCAACAGTGCGTCGGGCATCTGTAGTTTCTGTAATAAAAAACTTAGAAATTTTGTATAAGTGCCAACCTAAAGTATGGGTTAGGATTAGGATCTATTTGAGGAAAATATTTTAAATTCTACAGGGTGGCTCAAAAAGGCATGAGTGGATCGGGATGATTTTTTTAAACGGAAAATGAACATTTTTAATATTTAAAGTATTTGAAAATATCTAACGGTTTCGCAAATATTCGCATTTTTATTTCACGGCTCTTTCAACGATAAATACCAGACGGATATTGACACAAGATACAGATTGATGGTCGGGTATAAGTTTACAAGTTGCAATTTCTGGGGTCTAGGAAGAGTATTTCCAGAACCTTAGAAGGGCGGGTGAAGACTGATAGGGCGGTGAGAGGCTTTTACATTAGATGGGTTCTTTACTGATGCGGGGGTACAAAAATGTTCTCTAGACACGTTATTCTTCAGTGTGTTAATAGTGCGCACTGGAGAATAATTATTTTTTCCATAGCAACTGCTAATATTGCCTTATATCTATCAAAATTAGTAGATAAAATAGTACTTTGACCGCAAGGGTAGATTAAATGATACTAACAGCGAGGATAGGTTAAAAACTTTAGTTCTTCTCGGACGTTTTTTAATTGCTTCCATTTTTGAAAATTTTTGTATTCCTTTTCATAAGTTATTCGAGATTTAAGTAGTTTGGATATGGCGTTTGTCGCCTCAGCCTGAATATCTGTTGGTAATTTATTTCGTTTTGATCCACTTCTGGCTCCAATTCAATCAGCAATCGACACGAAAGAGAATTAAAAAATAATGACTCAAAACTGACAACTTTATTTATTTGTCAAATTACATAGAAACCAACGCCAACCCAGCAAAATATTTTTAGCCGACCATACCAACTATATCGCCAAAAAAAACGTTTTTTTTAGAATAATTTTTTGTGTAATAATAAAATGTGAAATATGTCAAAATCCTTAGATTTTGGGTATGTGCTTCTTTAATAAAACTCACCTTTATTTTTTTCCTAGAATCGGAAAATCAAATAATATATAGGGTGTTCCATTAAAAAAACACAACTTTGATGTGTAACTTTTTTTGGAGACACCCTGTATAATTCTATATATTTTTATAAAATGCTTTCACTTAACCTACACATGCTGCCAAAATTTCATTTTGATATAAACTACTGTTCTCCTTCGTGCTTCCGCGGCGTATGAGAGGCGCCACCCTGTATAATGTATATTTTCCAGTACCACTTTAAAAAGGCACTGGTCGCACCCTAGTTGCGCCATTGCCTAAAAGGCTATTAGCCTGGTAAATGTGCGATTCTCTGTAATAGGCAATGATAGGCCAATGACAGAGAGGTATATGGAGGGTTCAGTCTCCAAGTTGCTTTGAAAAGGATAATACTGAAGAACTTAAGGATCAGAAGAGGACTAAATAAATTTGAAAAGGTCGCAGTGGATCAGGCCTCTCACGAAAAATCTAATCTTTATAATATAATAAATAGTTAAGAAAAATGAAACGTGTTCTAACTTTGCCTGTATAAGAGTAATATAGAAATGTGTATTTTGGGAACATTGCGTAAAATAACAAATGCTTTGTTTCTTCTTTCATCCCTTATATCTTCTGCTCCCCGAGTTTCTGCTAGAAGTCGGTCATTGTTCAATATTATTCCCCCCAGCTAGGCGTCCACGTCTTGTGGCACGACAGCTTTCTACCTCCTGGTTATATCTGTGGCAGGTGACTGGTTGCCGGTTCTTGTGCTTAGCCGCCGAAGACATTCCCCAGTTCGCAGTTCCGCTTGCAGTACGTCGCTGTGCACGACACACATAACCGCAATTTTATTCTTCTTCATTCTTCTTTTTTGTCTTACTCTTCGAAGATAGAAAGCAGCTCGCGCGCGCGCTCGCCAGCTATCGACACTATTCGATCGGTTTTATTTCGCGCTTCTATTTTGAAAGGTGGACGTTTTTGAAGGATTATTATTATTGAGCGATTGGGATAAAAAAATAAACTGTGTGACTAGAAGATGTGCGATTTCTAGTATGTGATGTATGGTGTTGTTTTTTTATTATTTGAGTTATAAATAATCAGGAAAAACATGTTGCAACCCAGGAAGTGTTTAGGGACATTATTTGCCCTCGCAGTGTTACTGGAATTTGTTCAAGGTAATTTACTATATCATATATTTTTTTAAGCATAATTTATAACCACTTATATCATAATAAATAATTAATGGTTTTAAGGGTAGCGTGGTATATTGTATATTTTTTTAAATTTCTCTGAATCATTCGATTTTTATTTTTCAAAGACCATAGGTATACAAGGTCGCTTTTATGTATGGAAACGGTCGATTATTAGGTAAAATATAGGAGGTATCGCAAAAAGTTAAATACATAAGTTATAGGATTTTTAAATATCTATTAGCGAGTAATAAATTTAAGTATACAGGGTCGTTCATAAAGTCGTGGCACATCAAAGTTTCATTTTTTTTAAATAGAACCCCCTATATATTATTACATATTTCAACCTTCCTTCAATTCTAAGCAAAAATCGAAATACACACAATGTACTTCAAACCAACTGTTTCCGAGTTATTGACTTTTGAAAATATCACTTAAACAATTCGATTTAATTAATTTCGATGTGTTTGGTTTGATTAAATGATGCCATTCTGCTGAAACTGTGATACTGTTGTAATGGGTTTTTAAATTCCTATTAGCTACTAGTAAATTTAAGTATACAGAGTCGGTCATAAAGTTGTGTCACATCAAACCTTATTTTTTTTAAAGGAAACCCCCTGTATATTATTGCATATTTCAATTCTTCGTTCAATTTTAAGCAATAATCGTAATACACAATGTACTTAAATTGAAGAATTAAAATGTTAAACGAAAATTTTGTAATTTCCAGACTTGATATAATTACTCTAATTTTATACATCTGTAAATTCTAACTTGAAAACTAATGTCAAATATTATTAAGTATTACAGTTTCTGCAGAATAGCATCGTTAAATGAAACAATAGCTTTTTTCGGGTTTTTGTTATTACCGATTCTGAACCGTCCTAGAGCTCTGCAGCGCATGCGCAAATGAAATAATGTCTTCATATTTCCTTCTGCGCATACGCATCACAGTTCTAGGACGGTTCAGAATCGGGAATAACAAGAATCCGAACAAAGCTTCTATATCGAAATTAATTAAATCAAATTGTTTAAGTGATATTTTCAAAAGTCAATAACTCGGAAAGGGTTGGTTTGAGGTACATTGTGTGTATTCCAATTTTGGTTAGAATTGAAGGAAGAGCTGAAATATATGCAATAATATACAAGGGGTTCCATTTAAAAAAAAATGAAACTTTGATGTGCCACGACTTTATGATCGACCATGTATACTTAAATTTATTACTCGCTAATAGATATTTTAAACCCTATTACTTTTATATTTAACATTTTGGTTGCGACCCTGTATACAATTTTTAACATTGCGATAAGATAAAAGAAAATAGCTCTAGAAAGTAAAAAAAAATATATGAAAAAAAAGGCCTCAGTGCCACAATTAATACAATATAGAACTAAAAGTATAGATCAAAAAGAAAAACATATTTTTAGTTTAAGATGTAGAATTTTTTTCATTTTTTGAGATCCATATTAACATTATTTATTTCGGATAATGTAATATTCTGCAATATAACATACATAGGTACATACAGAAAGTAAAACAATCCAGAAATCAGCCGCCATATTTTTACATGTTTTTTAAAAACTATTAATTATACTTCTTGTTTTGACTCTGCGTATTTGGTGGTCGGATGACGAAAGGACATGAGATAACTTACAACTTATTGGTCTGTATTATCGTTTGTTAGAAGCATATATTGTTACAAGCATATACCGTATGATCGAAAAAAAATGGCGTCCAGTTGGCTGGGAAATGACGATCGATGACAATTACAAGTTCAAGGATAAATCAGTATTAGAAAATTAAACTATTAATAAGGAATTTACCAATTAGATATGCTTTTGTAAATACTTGACAGTGACAGTTGTGTCTGTCATTTTAAGTCACAAGCAAATTGTATTTTCTCTCATTTTTGGGATGTCGTCTATCGAAATGTTCCTTGAGTCGTTATTGGACAGACTATAGGTACATACTTACATTTTACTGAAACTTATTTATTGAGTGAAATGCAATGGAATATAAATCTTCTTAAGTAGTTAAGTTAATATTTTATTTATAATCCATAACGCACCATAACATACGCGTTTTCTAATGAATCGATAGTTAGTCCAACGTAGCTAAAATACTAAAAATATCTTAAAGTACGGTATATATTAAGACTAGCGTGTACCCGCGACTTCGTTCGCGTCGAATTAATCATTTGTAATGGTGATGATAAAGCTAAGTAAGAATTTGCAATAACATACAAACTGGAGCAGAATCGTGGTTAATCAATTACCCAACTTTTTGGAATACCCTATATGATTTTTAAAAAAAGTTTCAAAATACGTAAAAAAACAAAATAAATTATGCGTGTCCAAGCGTTTTCCCGAAAGACTAACCGTTTTTTAAATAACAAATATTGTAATATTTGAGCGGCGTTTTCACACTCTTGGAATTTGAGATTTGAGAAACCCCTCCTTATCGAACCTCTACACCCCACATTCAATCCGTTTGCCAAAAATCAGCTTTAAACGTTAAGCAGTTTAAGCAGAATCGTGGTTACTCAATGGTCATATCTTATGAAACACCCTGTATTAATTTTTAAAAAAATCTTAAAATATGTAAAACAAAATAAAATATACGTGTTTAAGAGTTTTTCCGAAAAACTCACCGGTTTTTAGATAAAAAAATATTCTCTTATTAGAGGTGTGGTTTCACCCCCTTAGAATTCGAGTTTCGAAAAATCCCTTCTTATCGAACCTCTACACCCTAAAGTCAATCCGTTTTCCAAAAATCAACTTTTTACGTCAAGCGCTTTAAGAAGGATCGTGATTAATCAATGACCAGATTTTTCGAAACACTTTGTATACATTTTTAAAAAATCTTAAAATATGTAAAAAAACAAAATGAAATATACGTGTTTAAGCGTTTTTTCGGAAACTTGACCGTTTTTTAAATAAAAAATATTGTAATATTTGAGGGGCGATTTCATCACCTTGGAACTTGAATTTCGAAAAATCCCTTCTTATCGAACCTCTACACCCTAGAATCAACCTGTATGCCAAAATTGAGCTTTTTACATTGAGTGGTTTGAGCAGGATTGTGATTAATCAGTGAGTCACATTTTTTATATTAAGTATAGATATTTGGATTTGTATTGATATTAGGGTATATTATTAGGTAATGGCATTCGTTAAATGAAATGAACTTAAAGCACGAAAATTCTAGTTTATTTTTTGCATTCTTTATATCTCTAACAAGTCCATGATTAGAAACTTAAATGCACCTGATATTATTATATCTCGGCCATAAGTTTTAATATTATTTTAATACTATTTCTATGAATAAACAGACAATCGTTAAATGTCTTAGACGTTTTTAATTTTAATGTCAAACTCCATTGCCTCACAAATGCAAACGTATAGTTTTCTCTCAAGGCTAGAAACTTTTACTTGAGTTGAAATTCTCGTCCATTAAATATCAAAGGTTCAAACGAAACAACATTTTGTATTTTGTTGGGATTCCAATTGAAGAGTACCGAGGATTCAGTAGAAAATTCCGTTTTGAAAGTGGAAAGGTTACAGTTATTTCACGATAATTGAATATATCAGTTAATATTTTACAATAGAAATATATAGAATAGAGTATAGTTTTTTTATGAAAAATTAACTAGGTTAGAAAGACGTTCGTAATAGTAAATTGTTGCGTGGTAAATAGATAAATTAAGTTCTTATGGAAAATTACACATAAGTAAAATTGAACACGATACTATAGGTATACCAAAACACTTTGGATGTACAGGGTGTCTTATTTTCGTATGTTTTATTGGCTTTCTCGTTTACGAGTAGATATACCAAGATGCGGTTTTCATATCACTGATCACTGTGCTATGTTTTTTAATTTGAAAATATTGCCTTTTTGCATACTTATAACTCAAAGAAAATGTGAAAACTGAGTTCCGTTTACGTACGTAGTTTTTTACGTAGCATTCAGTGTCGTAGTCAAAAGTGGCTCACCCCTATAACTTTTTTATTTTTTTAGATAAAAAAAAACGAGATTTGGTATGTTACTATGTGACATAAATTAGGATTGATTGTTGTATTCAATTGTTTTTGGTCATTTCCTGTTTCACCGGAAATGACTACAACTTTTGATTTTTAAATGGCACCCTCGGTATTTTTTTACTATATTCGATAGAAAATTACATTCTGAATAGAATGACATATCATATGTCAACTTTTGACATTCTTGCTTAATAAAAAAAATTATATTTTAAAATTCAATCTAGAGTGCCATGGCTATGTTAAAAACACTAATTTTTCATCAAGGAACCTTGGAAAAATATATTTGATGGTCTAATGTTTTTAGTGTCTTGTCCTGGCCAGTTAGAAAATTCTCAAATCGTATTTTTAATCATTACTCAGTTTTTTCAAATGGAACGAGGGTGGCTCATTAGCATATTTGGAAAAAGCATTTTTTCTACGAATAATTTGATACCACACACTTGGTATTTCAAGTCAAGTTTTTGTTACGAACCGCAAGTTATAATTTCAAATAAACCATATGCGAAAATGTCAAAAGTTGTCATTCTATTCAGAGTGAGATTTTCTATCAAATAAAGTAAAAAAATACCGGGGGTGCCATTTAAAAATTAAAAGTTGCTGTCATTTCCGGTGAAACAGGAAGTGACCGAAAACAATTGAATACGTCAATCAATCCTAATTTATGTCATATACTAAAATACCAAATCTCGTTTTTTTAACTGAAAAAATAAAAATGTTATAGGGGTGAACCACTTTCGAGACGCACCCGGTATATAAATATTTCGAGATCTAACACAAAATAATCGCATTTAAGAAATTGGATTTAAAACAATTCGAATATGAAGCTCAATATCCGGAAATTTACGTGTACATCCCGTCATTTGAATAATTCACACAATAAACAATATTATGTCACTCTATGTACCATATGCCTAATGTTAAATAACTGGGATATTCAACAA